GCTAGTGGAGTGCACGCGTCTCAAACAAGCCTAGTTTGTTTACAAAATTGCGACGCAACTTGGTGGGCGGTACCCTGGAAAGAAATCTCTGCGTGTGAAATACAAAGTGTGGCGTGTGAGCGTGTGAATGGAGTGAAATGCGTGTGTCTAACTTGAGAGCTCTGTAGGCAGGAGTGCATAGTTCAGTAGGCAGTCTTTACAGTTGAAATGAAACATGTTGTACAATGAATGAACCAGCTTCAAGGTTTATGTTACTTCTACTGTATGTCCAGCAAATCTTTGGTTTATCAAACGGGTTTGACGAACTGGTAGACCAGTCTGCGTGAAACATCAGGCTTTCGGATGATGCCCTTCTTGTAGTACTGGCGTATGGAGCGACTAAGTTTGTCATAGTTCATAGCTGGGCGGTTCTTCCTGATGCCCCAAAGCCTGGCCACAAGAGCTGAGTCCTCTATTTTGAAAATCCCTTTGGAAGGAGGAAACAAAAATGTACTCAGTTTAGATTTTGAAGTGGTCTTTTCAGCAGGGTGTGCGTATAAAAACAACTCTGAGAAGGTAGAAGATAGATACCACCCATAAAGCTAAACCAAGGAGACAGTTAGCTTAGCTTAAACAATGTAGGAAACAAAGCTAGGGAAAAAGCTAGTCAAGCTCATCAGCTAAATAATTAAACAAGCGACATGAAAAGTAAGTTATGGTTTATAAGGGGTTAGGCCTACAAACTGAACTATTTATTGGCTGGGCCCGGAGACTTGCATTGAAGAAGAAGATTATTTTCCATCAGAGCCAGACTGGCCGTTTCCTTCTCTTCCAGTCTTTATGTTAAGCTAAAGTTACTTAACATCTATATTTAGCGCACAGGCGTGACAGAGGTAGCCTACCTATTGATCTTCTCATCTAACTCTTGGCAACAAAACAAATGAGCTTATTCTCTCAATGTTTTACTCTTCTTTCATGTCACTTTAGTTTAATTCCCAGTTTTGCATTTATTCTCAAACATTAAATAGATGTTTCCTAATGCATTAGCATGTAGCATCACCTTACCTTTTTCCTTGTTAAGCCAGCGGATGCAGCGGCTGTCGTCGTGAGGCTTTAGGAGCAGCTCTCGGAGGAACTGCCACAGGTGTATGGGCTGGCTGGGGTAGTTCCTTATCAAATCTGACCAGCAGTCATCATCAGCTGCTGGAGAAGAAGAGGTTCTCAGAAAACTTCTCCTTGTTTTACCTCAGTATTTGTATTAAAGAAATCATTGCGTTAGTTAGTTAAAGATCTAGTTATAAATGAGAGCGTACCAGATTTTCTGTCTTCAGGTGGGCAGCGCTCCTTCATTGCTGCAGCTAAACAAGCAGACAATAAAGAGTTGTTTACATCACACACAGTACTTAAAGTCGAGTCTTAAAGGAGCTCTTTGTCACTTCATTTGCATCATAATTACACTTTCCTTATTTGCATAACTTGAAGTTAATTTCCCCATGTCCCTTTTATTCTTACCAGATCTCCAGATGTCCAGATTAGCATACAACATGTCTCCAAACTGCAAAGTGCGTTGTCTGAAGTCTGCTTCTGTCATGGAGCACAGATCCCTCCCGTTCATCTCCTGAAACAAGGTGCTGACCTGCGGCAGCCTGTACAGGTGCTCGGTCCAGAGCAGCCACTTCTGAACGTGCACACAGCTCCATTCCAGCGGGTCTAAAGAGGGAAACACAAAGAGTTTATTTTACACAACTCACCACAAGGTCAGACCACATGGTAAAACAACTCCAGTAGGGCGTTAACAGATGTGTTTTTTTTTGTTTTATAATTGCCTTATTCTTGATTTAAGAGTTAGAACAATTGTCAAACGTTTGATTAACCTTCAATTACAAAATAATTACATTTTAAGAAACAGAGAAACCAGAACAGTGAAACAAACCTAAAACTGCTGTTGAATAATCAAGTTCGTTTTAGAGTCAAGACCACACGACTGGTTTTTATTTGTCTTCTGTTTCAGTCAAAGAAGACTCAGCTTTAAAGGAAACAGTTTGTAAGATTCTTCTTCAGGTTAAATGTTTTTACTTTTCATTTTAGGCTCACA